AGAACAATCCAGACCGAAGTTGACCCCCCACCCAGACCGACATTGATTAGACTGTTGATTGATCTGGCTCAAGGAAATTTTTTTTTTATTTTTTAATATTATTTTTATTATTTTAAATTTTATTATTAGTATTTATACATGTTAAATTTTTAAATTTGCTAGAATAAATTTTTGTTTTTTTAATAATAATTAATAAAAATAATAAAAATAAATAATGAAATATATAGTTAAAATTTTTTATAATTTTGTTAATTTTAAAATAAATCTTATAAAATAAAAATAATTAAAAAAACAATAAAAATGTAAGAAAATGAAATTTTTATCTGATAATGAGATTCAAAGGTATTTCGAATAGTAATACCTATGAAATCTCTTGGTAAAATTTTTTTTTTAAATACTACCAACGTATTGGTGTATTTATAAAAAATTTTCAATACAATAAAAAAAAATTTTGGTTATAAAATGGATAATAAAAATGAAAATAAATAAGAAAAAAAATTTTATCCGATAACAGGATTCTAAAAATATTTCGAGTAATGATACTTTACGAAATCATTAAGTGAGAAAATTTTTTTAAATATTACCAGTGTATTAGAATATTTATAGAAAATCTTAGATATAATAAAAATGTCTCTTTTCTTCAAAAATTTAAATAATAATTCAATAAATAAGATCAATAAAATTCCTAAAGAAAATAATAAAATGTGTGCATTAATATATTAGCATTTTGCATTGCATGCACAATATGGTATTTACGAAAAATAAATTCGAGCTTCTGAAGATGAGATTCTAAGGTATTCTGAGAAGCGATTTCTAAGAAATCACTAGGTAAGAAAGAATTCTTCTAATGTTATCAATGTATTGAAACATTTTAATAATTATTTTAATAAAAAAATTCTAATTTATTTTTCTTGAATAAAAATAGAACAATAAAAAGATATTTAAAAAGAAAAAAACCAAAATTTCAACAAGAAAAATCAAGGAAATTATTTTTCAAACACCAAAATAAGATTATTTTTATCAAAATCAATGAATAACACATAATTAATTGACACCATTTAAAACGAATGTTGTGGAGATACTAATCTTTCCCTACACGTAACCGACTCTTATATCCAAATTGTTTCGTAGACCCTAAAATTATTTTTTTAATAAATTTTAATTAATTTTAATTTTTTTAAATGATATATTTTAATAGGTGGCCAATCGTACCTAACTCAAAAAGATTAGTAGCGATTCTGTTTTTCATTTTTTTTCTTTTTATTTTTAAATTTATCGAGTAGATGTAAAACTGTTACGATAAAGTTTTATTATTTTTTTTAATATATCAAAAGAAATTTATTTGAATCATCTTTCCAACTATATAAATCTTGCCTAAAAATTCTTTACATCGGAAAATATTGTGAAGCTTAGAATCAAACAATATTATATATTTAAGTAAAAACTCCCTAAATGCTTTCTAAAGAAATTTTAATGTATGATTATCAAATTAATTGTAATAAGTCCAAAGTTCAAAGGTCTAATATGATTTCTATGAGTTAAAATTATTTACAACTTCAGGTTATTAGGGTGCAAATTTTGGTATTTAAATGTGATTGTAGGTATCAAAGGTTGGAAAGAATCAAAACACTTATCCTTTTATGTATAAATATAAATATAAATATATTTATGTCACTTTAGTATTTAGTTTTTACGATTTAACATTCATTAGCTTTGTCCTTTGTGTTTATTATGTCTATTCGGTATTCTTCTTGATGTTTATTATGTCTCCTTTTAAAATTTAGAGTAATTGCATATAAGTTTACTGTTTTACGAATATGATTTCTTATGATATTTAATTAGAGATAAATATGCACTTAACATTTTTAAATTATAATTGACTATTACGCGCAGTTGCTAGAGAATATGTTGTTTAATATTTTCTACTTAATTTTATAGTTATTTTAAAGAACTTGTCTTTGCTTCTTTAATTTTAATGTCTAACTCTTTGAAAAAGGACAATTAAAAATCTTAATTTTTTTAAAAAATTATTATTTTATATTAATTACATGTATCATTCTAATTTTTAATTTAAATAAATTTTAAATTAATAAAATATTAAAAATTATTATAACAGACCGGATGAAACCAGATCGCAACACTAGTTCATATAATAACAGTGCATGAGATTAACAATTTTTTTAAATGTAAGTAAGATAAGTGTCTCTTAATGCAATTAGCAAACACGTGGAGTAACGTATACGTGTCGGCAATAACCAAATTAGGATTCACTTTCTTGGCGAAGAAGTTTTTCTATGTCTTCGGTACAAAATCTTTTCTTGTGGCTGTTATTTTACATTTTTTAAGGATCCCTAACCTTGTTTACTGCTATCGTTGTTTTAGCATCATGTTTTAAGCTCTCTTTCTGCTCTTCCCTGTAAAATACCACATACCCACGTGCTGTTATTTTTTCTTCTTGTGTACTTCCATTTTTTTATTTGGTAAAATTGGATTACTTCCTTTCTGTTTATGGCCTTTTCCTTTATGTCATTCTGATTCTAGGACTGGTAAAATATCTTATTCCCTGTAAAATACCAGCAAAACCTTCGCTTCCATTGGACTGGTAATGAAATAATTGCAGCAGTTGGAATTTGGAATGTATCAAAGATTTTCTTTTTTTACAGAGAGGAAAATATATTATTGATCAACAAGAAATTTCACGGAGATTTGGTTTACTAAAGTGGCCAGGAGGACCTGCTTACCCTTATAGTTACAATTTGCAGCACCTTGGGCGATGAGGCCGGTGAACGAAGAGTGGCTTCTCCAGGAATAAAACCAAGTGAGATTTGAGGTATGAGTTTGGGTCCAGAGGGCTTGGATGATGGGCTGGGATGCATCTGTCAATCCGGTTGTAACCAAGATTGATCCTGAGGAGGTTAGAGTGTTTCCTTCCAAAATCTCTGACTCACAGTTAGCTGAAAGCGAGATGGCTGACAAAGCTTCAGCCAAGGGGGATCGATGTGTGGAGAGTGAAATCAGCGCTCAGAGCTTCGTTTCAGGCTTACTCATTCTCCACAGGCAACTCCAATGGAAGAGAAGGTTTTGGTGAGTTTTCAAACTGCCCTACATTACTTATTATTTGATTGTTTCAAAGTAGCGGTTGCTATTTCTTTTTCTATTTTTTTTCTTTACTCACAAAATTCATCCGGGAAAGGGACAGAGTTTGGCTCGAACTAAAATCTTTTATATTTTCATCAATCACCTAAATTATTAGTTCAAGAATTGGGACAATTGCTTTTGTCATTATGCATGCCATTTCCTAACATTTTCACATTTGGTGGCATGAATTTACCATAAATTGTCTACTAGTACTGACATGACGTAAATTAACTAGTCAGAAGAAAATGGGAGTGATCTCAAACTTATGATTTGTTAATCTGATCCAATTACTTGATTCGGTGCATTTTTTATTTTAAAAAAAGATAGATAAAAGTAAAACAACGTTCAAGTTTGAGTTTTTAGGTGTCTTTCGTAGAAAACATCTCAAGCATTTAGTCGCATTTGGGAGCGTGATGGGACATTCCTAGGGGCCGCTTTTACAATTGGATAGCAATAATAGTAAGTAGAATAACAGTCAATAGTTTGATGACAAAAGCATCGACCGATGGACGCTAGATTTGGGAGAATTAAAAGAACAATCGTTCGACTTTTCTGCCGAACCTCGCGATACAAGGCGATCAGGCGGTGGGCTATCATTTTCTCTCTTTGATTGCTTCCACAAGTGTACCACTTAAATTTTGAATCTGACATTGATAATTAAAGTCTGTCGTCAGTGGCTCAACCATTTGCATTATTATATGCAAGGTGGAATAATAACGTTTTGTTTGGTACAACGCCAGAAATTTAATATTATAAATAAAAATGATAATTTATATATTTATATTATAAAATATTAATAATTTATATATTTATATGATATTTTATATAAAAATTATTTATTGTAATTTATGTTAACATAAAAATATAAAATATTATTTTATTAAACAATGATTTTTATTAAAAATTTAAATTGTATTATTTTTTATTTTTATTTTTATTATTTTTATGTTATATTTAAAATTATCAAATTTAATTATAAATTAATATAAAAAATTAAGTCATTATTTATTAATCCCTCAATCTCATTTTATTTATCTATTTTTTATATCCCAAATTTATATATATTTTAAATACTTAAATGTCTTATTTTTTATATTTTAAAATTATTTTTTAATAAATTATTAATTTTTTTGTCATTAGAAACGATGAAACTTTAAATTTATGAAAAAAAATATATTTAATATTGTATATACTAAAATCAAAATATTTTTTTTAAATTCTGTGAAAATTACTGAGGGACTAATATTATAACATTGAGGAATAACAATTAATTAGAAATCGTATTTTGTAAATATAGTTTGATTTTAATGATCAAAATTTTTAATTAAATAGAATCGATTAATCAATCTTTTATAAAATATTCATTAAAAGTTTAGAATAAAGTAATTTTCAAATATATTTTTACTAGATGGTCAAAAATATATATTTATTAAAATTAACAAAATATTTAAAACAACTTAAATCAATGTTAAAAATTTTTTTATAAAAGAAAATAAAAAAACCGTGGGTGTTTCATACAGTACAAAGAGAGTATTTTTTTTCAAAATTTCTAATTAGTATTAATTATTAATTTTTATCTACTTATATGAGAAAAATATTATATTTGATGTATTATTAGTATATAAAATTTAAATATTGTTAATAAATTAAATGATTTTATTTTATTAATGAAATGAATTAAATAATATTATTTCATTAATTAATAATTTTTTTTAAAATATTAATTTTTTATATATTAATTTTTAAAATTAATATTTATTTATTAATAAAATATAATTATTTAATTTACTAATAATATATTAAATTTATATACTAATAATATATTAAATATAATTTCTGCATTTAAATATTCCTATTCGTGCAACTTTCAAAAGTCTAATCAAAATGCGTTCTATTTTATGTTTTATAGTACTTATTTGACACAGTATTAGCATTTTAAAACTACTCTTGTCGGTAATATTTCAACCTTTTTGTGCTGCTTGTGAGCTATAAATGTGCCATCCTGGGAGGAGGAAACGTACCACTCAAAGTCTCCAACGTTTAATCATACTAAAGATTTTCATCAATAAAAAAATATGTATGGGACAAGTTTGAGTAGGAGGAACTGGAAATGCAAGCTCCCACTTGCAACAAGGATGCATTCCAAAACATCCTGGGGAGAAGCAAATCGCTGTCAGGTATCTAAATTTGGCGTCATTGTTATCTTCATTTTGATTATTCTTATATATTCAGTATTATTGATTTATATTTTCATGATCAAAATAACTAATTTGGCCAACCATTTGCGCTGCTATTGAAGCAAATCGCCGGAAAGCAGAGATTTCCAACTATGGCGGCTGCCATCGGAAGATTAATTTCTAACAGTACCTAGGAAAACAATGCCTCTCTCTCTCTCTCTCTCTATCTCTCTCTTAAGAATATTGGATATAAAGTTAAACGTTTGATTTGATACATAAAGTAAAAAATTTAATTAAGTACTCAAAATTTGCTTGGTTTATAATTTGCACGGTAAATTAACTCTGTTAGTCAAATATAACCCGTTTAGCAAGTCAGGCGTAGACATGAATTTTCAAGTTCAGGCTCACTCAGCCGGAAAACATGTTTTATATTAAATAATTAGTTTTTTAATTTTAAATTAAATACATAGTTTAAAATATTAATATATAAAAATGACATGACTTTTTTAGATATGCATGGCATGTTCTTACTGGGTTTCTTTAGGCATCTAATCCTTTTAGCTGCCATAGTTCGAATCATTTGCAAACTGATAAATGAAAGAAAAGTTTAACACCTAATCCTGCCTTTCTAGATTTTAGTATAGCTCACTACAAGAAATGTGATATTTAACAGTGAAATTTTATGTTATGTTGCAATAGTTGTGCTTTATAACAATTTTTATTTACATTTTGTTGCAAAAAATTTTAAAAAAAAAGTGAACGACATCTGTTGCAGTATAAGATTTTTTGTGTTAAATAAATTTTTATAAGGTGTCGCAAATGTATAGTAGTGTTTTAAAAAGTATTAGTAACAATTTTTTTTATATATTTTTGTTGCAAAGTGTAACTTGTACTAATCTATTACAATATAACACTATTTATATTGCAAAAATATATATATTTTGCAACATTTATATAAAGTACGCCAAAATTTTTATTGCTAAAAATGAAATTTCTTATAATGGCCCGGATATCAAATGTTTGATTAAGCCTATTTCTTTTGTTAAAAGTTCAAAGTTTATATAATAGTAACGTGGAAATTGTACATAATACCAAGAAAGCATCACAAAATATAGAAAATTTAAGTCCTATAAATGTTCAGAAAAGGTAGTGCACATACTTTTGGGGCAATCCAAAATAGAAAATTGAACATTCAATTTGAAATTAAGGAAGCATAGACTTTGTGGAGAACTTTGTTAGTAATTATTATTAAATTAAAATTATATCATCCACTCTCAAAATAAAAGATTTTTTCACTTCATAAAAGAAAATATATTATATAATGAAAACGCCCCCAAGTTCAAGCACCATTGGCCAAGTAATATTTCGTACTTAAAAAGCTGACAACTGAAATTTACTAATGAGAGATTTTCTATGGGCAAAAGAAAAGCAGATAGTACTTGGTAGGTTGGTTGAATCCCTACAACTAAAATCGCACCAAGTATCAATCGAAAGTGCGAGAGTGAAGTGTTGCACCAGCCAAGTATGATGAAAGCCACCTCTTGAACAACCTACGGGAGCAATCTTTAGAATCTTATGTGGCCTGCCATCCTGTCCTTACCCAATACGGTCACGTCTTTTACTTTGAAAATCGAGTAACGGACAGGGTCAGGTCTCAATCTTGGCCCGTTCAAAGGCATATACAAGAGTAATATATTTATTATTTTATTTTGTTTTATTATATATTCATATTATACTAATCAATTTATTATTTAATGTATTTTTAAAGAAATTAGCTTAATAATGAAATGAATTTATATATAAAATATAATTCACACTAAAAGAAGTTTTTTTTAAATGAAAATAAAATTTCAAATTGGTCAGATTTTGGAGTAGAAATCAATTATTAGAGTGTTAGGTTTAGTCGGGTACATGTGGAGACATCATAAAGTACTCGGGTCGGATTTGAAGGTTTAGATTTTGGAATGTAAGCTTAAGCTATTGTTTTTTAATGCTAAATTGCAGCATATTCTTCGATTTTTACATATTTACATCTTATGTAGATTGTAGAGCCGAGATTTCAAAGTTGTTTGACTCTAACGAGAAATTTTATGTCATAGCAGAAGAAAAGGAAGTTGACAAACCTACACTCTCGCATGAAAATTCTAAGAGTGGAGATGGAAGAAATAAGTAAGGAACAAAAAAATATAAAAGAAGGGCAAAGACAAGTGCGAGAAAAGTTTGAAGCCATTGAATTGGAATGTGGAAAACTTCGAAAAGAGACTATCCTCGTAACACAACAAAGTGTCAGCACCCAATTCCGCCTTGCTCTTATGTTCCAAATCCTGAAAGCTAGAGAAAACCACGACTTTGCCAAAGCATCTCAACTCACTTGTTTTCTCCGGTCGTTCTCTTCAAATTTCATTTACACTACTAAATTCGACTTTTTTAATATATATTAAAGTACTTCCTTTCAAATTAACTCTGTAGATATATATATATATATTTTTTGTTTCAAAACTTTTTATTTGTGCTAATACTGTTACCTTTCCCTTTTCCTTTTACTACAGTGAACTTATAGCGAGAGAGAACAAGTAAAAACAAGTAAGAGGAATGCTGCTACAGCAAATTAATAAATGGTGGACTGGAGCACAGTCCGTTGTACTGTGATAAATTAGATTGTTTTTTTTGAAACATGCTCTTTGAGAGGTGGAATTAACAGTGGACCAATGATTGAGCCACATGCTCCCGCAGTTTCGTGCTAAGCCTAGATATGCTTGCTGTGAAGATCCCTTGAAATGACTCTTCTTGTTTGTTTGGAACAGATAGTACTCGTTTCTTGTGTTTAAGTGTTTGCTGAGAATAATGCCACAGAATGGCTCTCCTTGTTTGTTTGGGTCTGATGATATCCGTCTCTTTTGTTTAAGTTACTATCGATTTTTGTGTTTGGGTGTTCTTTACAATCCGTTTGCTCAACGTTGCTTTTGATAAAGGACCGACTTGAGGTTTCCATGTGTTGAATTATTTTTTATTATCTTTTCATTTCACTACAAAATTCAAATGTTTTTGATTTATGTGACCAAACAAAAACCATTTAACAGCCATCCCTATACAATTTAATCAGGACGATCAAAAATCCAAAAACTATTGGGGACAACTGAACAACAATTACTTGAAACAAACAAAAGAAGCTTTCAGTGCTGCTAGCTTCGCTAACTACACTATTAAATTTAAACTGAATTTTAAATTTTAAATTAAATTTAAATTTAATATTATATTAATTTGAACTCAATCAATACCCTAATGAGGTTGTAATTTGTTAGCCTTAGCCCCTTACCCCAAAACGTTGCACGCCAGTTGTATGAGAAGATGAAGCCGTTTCGTTAATAGTGTAGTAGACAGCTGGTTAGGGCTCCACTGCTAAAGCCAAAGCAAAGTTGTCCTCCGATTCCTCAGACAATGACGTGAGATATTAGTACTGGATTCATTCATGTACGTGGCTTATAGTAAACTACATAAAGTACTTAAAATTTCAGTAAAGACAAACAACAGATGGCGACACAAACAAACTCTATTTTACTTGCTCTTGTATACTGTGTCTCAAATTTTTTCGTAGTTTAATTTTTAAAACTCAAAAATTTCCAATTTTTTATATGTAAAAGAATAAAATTTATATTTTATTTTTCCAAAAAAATATATTTTCAGTTTTTGAACAACTTAAATTAAAATTTTGTGATAAAAGCAAAAAGAAAATACTTGAAATTTTTTAAAATTTATTTTTTAAAAAAAATTAAAGTTTTTTTTATTTTTTTTAGAAAAGAAAAATTTTGTTTTTAAAATTTTCATATAAGAATCTTAAATTTTGGGAAAAAAAAGAAAAATAAAATAAAACTTTATTTAGAAATGTTTTAGAAATTTTTATATTTGCTTAGAATATAAAAATATTTTTTTAATTTTTAAAATTTTTATTATAAAAAAAGTAAATATTGAATGCTTTAATATATTTTACCCAACTGTTTTTGCATCGCATTACTAGAGGTTTTACTTTTCTTAAGTTTTAATTTATTTTTAAATTTATTTACCTTAATAATTATTTTTTGAATAAAATATTATATTTACAAACTCTTTTAAATCCGTAATTTTTAAGTATAAACTTTAAATCTGTCAATCCCATTAATAGAGTTCATTAACTGAATTTTGTGGTTTTTATTTTTCATGCATTGGACTATCAATGTTGAAGATATTTTTGGTCCACACCAAGACCTTCAAATTTTAGGATCGCACCATAATCAAAGTCTTCTTTTATTTTCGAAAATTATTATTTCGAAATATAAACAATTATTTTCAAAAATTCGTTATTGGAGATGGATTTAGGATTTATAATTAGTGGGGATAAATATTTTAAATTAATTTAAAAATTTTTATTGAAATACAAATAATATAAAATTACTGCAAATAAAGCCAAGATGTATAACATATTTTCCATTCACTAAAAATTTTTTTGACATGAAAATAATTTTTCTATAGTTAAAATTAATTATATGATTCTTAATAAATATAGCCTAAACATTATTTAGCCAAATCAACTTTTAGAATATACACACATATATTAATTTAATAAAATTTTACTTACAAAAATTCTTAAAAATAGATATAATATGTGAAAGAATAATAAAAAAATTAATATATCTAGTTTTATTATTCACTTTTAATATGTCTAGTTTTATCATTTACTTTAAATAAACAAATATATTTTATTTCTTATTCATTATAATTTGAAGAATAAAAATGTCTCTTTTCTTATATACAATGAAAAGACGAATGAAGATATAAATCTAAATAATTTTTTAAAATTTTTTTATTATTTCACATTTTATATGCTTTTTTTTTTTGTGTTAAAGAATTGATTAAAACCATTTTAGTAGCACAAGCTTTAGGTTTCTCTATTCTTGTAAGATCATCTTACATCAATCAAAATAAATTACTAGAAAGAATTTAGAATTTAATATTTTAAAATTCTCTAAAAATAAGTTTTTTTACAAACTTATATATATTATAACAAAATTGTTTAACACCAAAAGTATCAATGTTCAATTACTAGATAAACAATAAAATATATTCTTGTATGAGCCTTAATTTAGTGGGAGCAAATTTGATAAAAAAAATTTAGTGGGGGCGAAATTTTAAATTTTTAAAACTTTTGAGATTTTTTTAATAAACCTAAAAATTTAGGAACTCAATTGGGCGGTTGCCCCCACTGGCCACTATTTACATCCGACCCTACTTGTTAACATTTTAATCAAGCAAAATTTATATTTAATGTATTGTTATTATATAGATGTTATATTTTTATGATTAAATATTTAAAATTAATTTTTTGTAAAATATTATTTCATTTATTAATGTTATAGATACCTTAGTTTATCCGAAATTTTTTTTTTTTTTTTATATTCAACGGGTTTTGAATTTTATTTTGATAATATATTACAAAATTACTCAATTGGACTTTAATTTATGAAACTAGATTTTAAGTACAAATTTAAAGATCCAAAAGTGTTTTTTATTTTTATTTATGTTTTGTTATTTTGGAAAAAAAAACATAAACTTTGATTTTTTCAAAAGATTATAATTTTATTTACATTTGACATTTAAATATTGGTATGATTTTGATAATTATTGGAAATTAAGTTTTTACAAAAAAATGACAAGATCTTTATAAATTCAATTGGTATTAAAATTTTTTAAATTAAAAAAGGATTCAATATTTATATAAAGAACTCAATTCTAAACTTAGAAAAAACAAGAAATACAATTAACAATTCATGAGGCAATTAGAGAGTGATTCGCAAAGAAAATTGCACAATAACTAGAAGCAGTGATAGCAATTAAAGATTAACCATAGAGTTATGGTGTTTGGAGACAACCCGATCGCTAGGTTTCTCTTTTTTTTAGTTTGATTTTTCTGTTTTTATTTTATTTATATTCTTGTTGCCATAGTTTTTATTTTTTGTTTTCTATTTCTATTTTTTCTGTTTATTTAGCTTCCATTCTTTATTTTTGGTTTTTTAATTTCTGTTGTTTAATTCTTTGTTTTTTAATTCCCTTTTTATTTCTGTTTTTTAAATTGCTGTTTTTGATTACTGTTTTTAATTTCTTTTTTTAATTCTGTTTTTTTAATTTCTGTTTTTTAATTCTGATTTTTTAATTTCTGTTTTTTAAGTTTCTGTTTTTTTTTTAATTTCTATTTTTTAATTCTTGTTTTTAAATTTTTTTAAATATTCCTTCTTTTAGTTTTAATTTTGGTTTAATTGAAAAACTAATGAAAAAGAACAAAAAAAAACTGTGATTGAATTTTTTATATTTTTGCATGATATTTATTATGATATTTTTGCATGATTTTTATAATATTATTGCATTATTTTTATTATGATATTTTTTCATGATTTATTATGATATTATTGCATGATATTCTTATGACGTTTTTATGATTTTTTTGCAAGATAATTTTTATGATATTTTTAGGATTTTTTCTTTGATATTTGTAATAGTATTTTGTAATTATTTTGTAAATAAATAAACAGGATAAATTGGTTGCTTTGTCATAAAGTATTTAATAAATCCAATGGTGAATTCTCTTTAAATAAACAACAAGTTTATCTTAAATACTCTTGAGGTGAGAAAAAAAAAATTTTTGTGAAGGCCTAAAAATATTTTTTCAATATTTAAATATCAAAATTAACAAAAATCATCTTTCATTAGGACTTAGATAAAATAACATGTGATTAATTTGTTACTAATTTTGGGCATTGTAAGGATTCTAAAATCTTCCTTATACGTAACCAACTCTCAACTTAGTTTTGTTGATGTATACCATAACTTATCTTTTTTAAAGACCATTAGTTAAGTTTAGAATAACCTTAAAAAGGATAAATTCACTTAAGTAGCCAATCAAACCTACATAAAAAGATTAGTGACGACTCCATATTTTTGTATCTAATGTGTCAGTTCTCGGACTTAAATATTATGATAATTTGACAACTCCACTGAAGACACAAAAGAAAGTCAAACTATTAGTTAATTATATGTTATGTTAATATTTATTTTGAAGTATTATGTGATTATTTATGATTTTCATGTGTACTAATCTATTTGTTTGTTTTGTATTTCGTATAGTACTTGATTTGATGTATTAGATTTGTGAATAAAAAGGGTTGTTATGTTCCTTCACACACTATATATGAATTCATCCATAAGCTCTAAACTTGAGCTTTGTCCTTTCTTAAGAAGGAGCAAGTATTTACACTCTTGTGAGATGATAACCTCTGTGTGAGCTAGCAAAAATTTTCACTCAAATTGAACCTCCTATGTTTGAGCTTACAATAAGTGATTGAGTTGCCTTACTAGTTTATAATAGACAATGATGTGAGGAATAATTTGGAAACTTATAAATTGTCAAGGCTTTAACCTAACATGTAAATAAACCCTAAAGATCCAAACCTAAGCTAGAGCCCTACCATTCTCCTTTGTAGAAAACCCTAAAATAGGACATATGAAAGGACATCTCTTTCCCTTTACTTGAAAATTATATATTTTTTCTTTTTTATTTTTATATCCATTGTATTTAGTAACACATTTCTTTCATTGTATATTTGTTATAACGTCTAAATCCAAGAACCTACCCATTAGACACAAAAACTATAAAGTCACCACTAATTTTTCTATCTAGGTGTGATCGGTTACCTATGTGAATCTATCATTTTTAAGGTTATTCTAAATGTAAACTAAGGGTTCCTAAAAAGAATAAATTCTGGTCTACATCAATAAAACTAAAGTTCGAGAGTCAATTTACGTGTAGATAAGATATTAGCACCTCATTACGCCTAAAATTAGTACCAAATTAATTATATGCTATCTTGTCTAAGCCCTAATCAAAGATGATTTTTATAATGCATATAAATCAATTTCAATCCTTTTATTTATTTATACAACATAGTCATACAAAAAAATCTATCAAAAATATCAAACAGTCATG